GAGTTACATAGCATTAAGCAAGACATCCACAAGTGTTTGTGGCATAAATTTTAAATCACCTGCCCCCAAAAGCATGCTAGAAAGCAATAATAGATACATGGATTTAAACACAAATGCATTACTGGTATGGCATTTAACATCATTTGGAAATCTTGAGTTTTTACCAAATGATTAAGGTAATAGTATTCACTACTTCAAAGATAGGGACTATAGAATTTACAGTCAAAATGCCTAACATATATCTAGAATAGTCTAAACTTTCTTAGGCTGCTTCCTTCTGAACCTAAAAAAAAAAAAAGAGTACCACAAGTAAATACAGCCTAGCACTTACTAAATTCATATTCACAAGACCTGGAACCTTTGGCTGTAAACTCTAAGTTTGGGGAAAATGTGAGATGAAATAAGGAAGGCAGTATAACCCAGGGTGAAGGTTTTGATATTACTCATGGTCTTGTTGGAAGAGTAGTGAGATGTGACAGGCCATATGATACTATCACATGATGAGAGGAGCTGCCCACACTAATTTCTAAATGAATGAGTTTCTAGAAGATATGTGTGTACTATACATTATATATTACATATAATACATTTAATATGTATATTATATATTTATATCAATATAGGTGTGTATATCTCTCTGTGTGTGTATATATATATATATATATATAGAGAGAGAGAGAGAGAGAGAGAGAGAGAGAGCGAATCCTGGGTCTTGAACTAAGGGCATCCTGCCCTCACTGCATGTTTTTACTCTATTACTTGAGCCACACCTCCACTTCTGCTTATTGGTTGGTTAATGGAGATAAGAGTCTCTTGGGTTTTTCTGCCTGGCCTGGCTTTGAACTATGTTTATCAGATGTCATCCCCCCTGAATAGCTAGGATTACAGTTGTGAGCTACTAGCACCTGAATGTGAGAGATATTCTATTTGAAACTTCTTTTTGGAGAACTTCATGAAGAATTAACTTATCTGTTATGGAAGGAAGGTGCTCAGAATAGTCAGGTGCTCACAAAGGATTTGTAGTGATTAAAATATATTGTCTTAATATTAGAATGCTTAACTAAAGATACTCAGGGTAATGTAACAATACCAGACGGGAAATGATTTTGAACTGGGGCATGGGTTTATTGGAGAGAGAAAGATGGGTTTTGTTGTGTTGTTGTTGACTATCTTCCTTGATAGCTATTTATATGTATGCATTCCCCTGTCTTTTCATTCTTTTGGCTTGTCACACATTATGGAAGGAGATGAAAGTTTTCATCAAAACTAGGTTGTTGGGCACCATTGGCTCACACCTATAATCCTAGCTACTCAGGAGGAAGGAAGTCAAAATCTGAGGATCGAGGTTCAAAGCCGGCTCAGACAGGAAAAAATCTCTGAGACTTTTCTCTCTAATTACAACAAAACAACAACAACAAAAAAAACGAAGTGGAGGGGTGACTCAAGTGATAGAGTGCTAGCTTAGAGCCCAAAAGCTCAAAGACAGTGCTAAGGCCCTGAGTTGAAGTCTAGTAGCGGCACAAACAAAACTAGGTGAGCTTTGCCTTCTAAACTCAACCACCTATCCCCCCTCATACATGGCTGCACAAAGGGCTTTGGCACTTACTTTACATAGAGGAAAAAAAAGAGCCCTTGCTGAAAAGCAAAGGTGAGGAATTTATTCACATCGAGAGCAAGTGGGAATTCTCAGGGTTAGCAAACTTCTGGGGGTCAACACTGCTTCATGTTGAATCTCAGTGAAACTGGCCCTCAGCCTTTGCTGAAACAAAGTAAGGAGAATGAGCTGTTTGTGGGTGGTGTGTATGGGGTGGGAGGTAATACCTTAGGTAAAAAGTACACAGTAGGCCTTCAGTGGGTATAAACTCCCATTGTAGAATGGCTGTCTCCTTCTTATGCCTAGGCTTCCAGATACGGAGTAATGGTTGTCTGTTTCCATTTTCACAAAAAATTTAGCTGAGAAACTTCTGAGCCTCCTGGTCAGGCTATGTGTCCAGTACACCATGGGCACAGGCTCCAGTGTAAAGAGCTCTGCCCACTGCTTTCCTCCCTTCCTCCCTCCCTCTTTTCCCCCTCCTTCACTTCCTCCCTCCCTTCTTGCCTTCCTTGCTTTTCCTATCTTGTTGGGGGGTCCTCTCTTGCATCTTTTGTGTTGATTGTGTTTCACAGGCAGCAGCCCTAAACCACTTATCCTTGTCAGCACATTCCCCAGACTCCTCTGCGTTCATATCTACCTTGTCACTCCTGACTGCTGTCACCTCTCTCACACTTCTAGAAAAGGATGGATCCTCCCAGGAAATGTTTCTCTCCATCCGAGGTGCAAATGAGCTAATCACATCTCTTTAGGTATGTGTTTTGCACCGGGGAACTTCGTCTAGCTTTGTTAAGAAGACCTTTCTCACCACCACATAGCTTGTATGTGTATTGAGAGGTGATAGTGTTATTTTGTTTTACACTTGTTATTTTATTTTTCTTAACAACTAATTCTAGCTTAGGATTCTCAGTTTTGGTTGAACCTCAGAATCGTGCAGGGTGTCTTCTGAAACACTTCAGAATAATAAGAATAGCTCAAAGTGGGACCCAGACTTCATTAGTTATCAAGTTCTCCAAGAATTTATCTCCGCCTGCCTTCAAAGTTGATAACTAGTAATAGAGGCTAAGATCCTAAATAGCTCTATTTCATTTCGAAGAGGTTTGATTTTACAGTTTTAAAAAAGTACAAAACGGGCTGGGAAGGTGGCTCAGTGGTAGAGCGCTTGCCTTGCATGCCTGAGGCCCTGGGTTTGATTCCTCAGCACCACATAAGCAAAAAGAAAAAAGCCGGAAGTGGCGCTGTGTCTCAAGTGGTAGAGCGCTAGATTGAGCTGAAGAGCTGAGGGACAGCACCCAGGCCCAGAGTTCAGGCCCCACGACCGGACCCAAAAAAAAAAAGTACAAAGCTTTCAAATGAACAAGTAGATGTTTCTTCAGAATGTACTCTGTCAAAAAAATCAAATATAGAAAATATGTTTTTATTTTTCTTTGTTTTGTTTTGACTGTGACTTATAGGGGAATCTAGAGGGTTAAATTAGTTGTTTTTCAAGTGGATCCAAATATAAACCATTGTAGAAAATAGATATACTCATTGTTGTGTGAGTTCCAATTTAACATAAGGTGCCGAGATTCTGCCTGTATTTTTAGCTAAGCATAGAGTTGTTGGTCTGGGAGTCATTGAGAATTTCAAAATAGTTTGCTCCTAAAAATATACTTCCTGAAATGAACTTGAGGCCTGAATGCGATGAATGGGTTTATTTTTTTCTTCTGTATTTACTGTTACCACAAGAAAGCAAGGGTGAAATATGTATGTTTATATTTTTAGAGATCCAGGAAACAGGTGTTATGCCTGAGCAACAAAGAAGATTATGTATCATGTAGAGCACTGATGGCAGACAGTTAAAATTTATGGGGCAGAAAGAGGCTGTAGAAGGACCCGGGGCTGCCCCTTTGCAGGCGGGAACATTTACCTTTACCATAAAGCACTGTTGAGTTTCTCCAAGGGAATGAAGAACTAGCACCTTGTTCAGTGCCACTTATGATCCAAAAGTATAATCTTTCTAAGGCAGAGAAAGTTTATTGAGTATGTTTGTGTATTGAATGTCTTTTAGCCTTGGTTTACTTCTATTGGCTCTCCAAACTCTTTCAATTTACTTCCATCACCAATAGAAATGGGCCTCACTGAGGACAGAAATGGGGTATAAGCATTGTACTTTGCTTACTGCCTCTGGCATGCCTGTGCCTTACCATGCATTGTCTGCTTTCAATATTGTACCGAGTAAACATAAATATTTCATTTATGATCATGTTCCTCTCCATCTGAGGGAAGAGGTTTTGTGTCCTGCCCCACTTGGTATAAAGGGCTAAACGTGAACTCTATGTGATTATACCTATATGTATTCTTCTGGTCACTTCCACAATAAATAGTTTGGGTACCTTCCATACGACCTGAGTTGTTTTTGTAGTAAGAGGTACAAGTATAGAAACAATGAGTCTCATGAAGCTTACATTTGGGTAAATAGATAATAACTGAGTCTGTGACCCACATAGTTTTGCAGATGATTAAACAGAATCCTATGGTAGTTTTACAATGAAAGGTGACATTTAATCAGAGATCAGAAAGGCCCAGATGTCCTCCTATGTGATGACTAAGGGGCTTGGGATATACTGGATGAGGTCAAAGAGGTGGCCAGCCACAGGTCTTTGAGGTGGCACCAGTCTTAGTTGGCCATCAGATCAGTGCCTTGACAGTCTTGTGTCTCAGACATACAGGGAAAGTTTTAATTAATGGCTTGTAGGCAGGAAATCATGGGAGTTGTCATTTGTACAGAGATTATTTTTTATGCTCTTCCAGGTGCTGCCATTGTTTAATGGCAGTTGGTATGGTCTTGTACCTTCTCTAAGAGTTGCCCTGGGATTTGCCCGCTTGCTTATACACTTTACCACTCTGCTGTGACCTCTTTGCCCATGTGGGCAATGACTCTTTCTGGTGCCCACATCCTATGGGGCTCCTTCTATTTTGGGTTGCCCTGCTCTGGTTTGTTTCCTTGTTTGTTCATCAGCTAAACTGTAATTTCTTTTCTTCTTTCTATTTTTGTGTGTATGTGCACGCACTCAAGCACACATGTGCATACGTGCACATGTGCTTCTAGTATCCATTACTATGCAGTAAACCATTCTGTGTCTTTACTGATTGATAAAGTTTTTGTAGAGTGCTTTCTGGCAATCATGGACAAAAGCAAGAAGCTACTGCTACTGATCATCCACTGTCCTCATGTACATGGCTTATATGACAAGTGGTCTATGTGAGGGAACTCTAATTTGATGTGAAAAAGTTGTCTTGCCTTTCTCCATATTCCTTTTCATGGCCTCAAGTTCCTTTGGAAATTGCATAATGGCTCCAGGAACCCATGTGCTGGCTCCCTAACCTTTAGATAGGTATTTACTGTCTCTTTCTCTTCTTCTCCCAGTTAATGATGAGATGATGACCAGTGACAACAATGGCGAGGTCAAGATTCCACAGCTATGTAAGTTTTGTGATGTGAGATCGTCTACCTGTGACAACCGGAAATCTTGCATGAGCAACTGCAGCATCACGGCCATCTGTGAGAAGCCACATGAAGTCTGTGTAGCCGTGTGGTAAGGGACTTTTGCTTTTTATCTTTCTTTCTAATTTAGTTAGTTAGTTATTTAGTTAGTTAGTTAGTGATGTTCCTGGGCATAAACTTATGGCTTCACACTCTCACTTGGCTTTTTCACTCAAGGCTGGCACTCTTCCTACTTGAGCTACATCTCCATTCTTGACCTTTGGCTGGTTAACTAGAGATAAGAGTCTCTCAAATTTATTTTTCCAGGCTAGCTTCCTCAGATCTCCATGTACTGAGTAGCTAGGATTACAGGTGTGAGCCACCAGTGCCCAGTTCTTTATCTTACTTTATATGTCTTGAATTCTCATAGTATATAATATAAGTGTCTCCATATTCCCTCAGTGCAGACACTCAGTCCACTTCCTTCCTTGTTAATAACATCTATCTTTCAGTTATTAAGTGTGGCTTCTAGGGATATTCAAATACATATACACACATATACACATTCACAGGAGTTCATGACATGAGATGTAATATGCATAGTGCATCTAGAAGCCCTTCCTGTGTCAAAAAAGAATGATTTTCTCCCTACTAGTAATTTAAATTATTCTTTCCCAGTCCTTATAGTAACACCAGGAGCTTTGTTCTGCTGAGACAATCTTAGTTCTTTGTTGGTAAAGGAGAAGAGGTCTAAGTTTGGCTTTTGGGGAAGAAAAACACTTGCCCAAGATGGGAAAGCTAGTTAGAGAAGCAGAAAGACAACCTGTTAATTTGTCAGACATCCCAGCTACACCCTGGTATATTCATTGGACTATACCTGACATCCTTCTCTTGGATCAGGACCATATATTCTTGGGTCAAATCTTCTGTTCTCTCTCTTCTCTCCTTCCCTCCAACTTACATCCTTTGCACATACAAACATCCCAAACAATTCTGTATACTACACAATGGGTACTCATAAATCATTTGATTAATTCATGGCTGTGAGTGACTAATATGTGCCAGTACTGGAGCTTGAAGTCAGGGTCTCTCTCCCTAGCTTGAGTTTTTGTTTAAGGCTGAAACTCTGCCACTTGAGCCACAGCTTCACTTCTGCCTTTTGCTGGATGAATGGACATAAAAGTCTCAATGGAGTTTTCTGCCTGGGCTGGCTTTGAACTGTGATCCTCAGATATCAGCTTCCTGAGTAGGAAGGTTACAGGCATAAGCCACCAGTGCCTGGTGAGAAACAACTCTGATCATTAAAAGAGTGCCAGTTTTGTAAGGAAAATGTATAAATTCATTAGTGGAGTTTAACATTTTGCAGGCTTATTCTGATGATTGGAAATTACCTACTATTTTAAAAACCATATGCATGTCCTGGTTGATTACCAGGCACGAATATAAAGCCAAATATGTCTCTCCTTTTCTTGGAAATGAATCTTTGTAGACTTTCTCCATTCCACAGATTTATCTTGATGATAGATCTAAGGACTTTGCAAATTTCCATGCATACCAGGTGCTGAACTGGTTTCTTAAGAATTAGAAGAATGTTAACAGCCAAGACTGGTCAGGGCAGCTTCATGCCGCCCCTCCACCTTCCTTCCACGTACTTACAACCTCATGCATGTCCAGTTTTGATCAGTGGTTTGAAAGAAGGGTATTCGAGGGCAGAACCATTGTAGTAGAAGGTTATAAAGTATGGTATCCGAGGACTGGCTGGAGCAATTAGGAATGGTTCAAATTCAGTAAGAAGTACATGATTTTATTGAGAGATTCTGAAAAGCTCTCAGGTGGAAAATGTCATAAAGTCATCCTGTGAGGTTCTGAAGGGTGAGGGAGGGTCTATAACCTTTCGCTGGGGACAGATTTGTGCTGAATGTAAGCTTCAACATTTGCACATTCTTGGTTTCACAATACCAGAAAGCTCTCTTCTTTGGCAGAGTGAGAGAAATTCCAGAGGGGTTGGATGGCCTATAGAGGAAAGGTGGAGACACCAGAGCCCTGGCCTCCACGCTTTCTTCTAGGGCTGTGTCATCCACAGCTCATCTCCCACTGGGCTGGGAGGACCGACTTCTGTTGCTTGTAGCAGCATCCTTTAATTGCATTGTTTTCCTGTCTTTCCACACAAATCCAAATGATTGGATGAGAATCAAGTCTCTCTGGAACAGAGCTATGAGAATGTGGAGGAATCCAGTGAGCTTTATTCTTGCTTACTCAATGAAAGCAAACCTCACTGCGAGTCAGGATTGTGGATAATGGCAAAGGGAAGCAGAACTTGGTGTCTCTGACCTCCTTGGTATCTGTCTGGAATGAGCACCAGTCCCTGCTCCCTGGGAGCAATGGTTACTTGAGGCACTATCCCTGAATCCCTTCAGTGTCTTCCCTCCCTGAGGTATTTCATTCCTTATGAGCAGCTTCTTCCATGGCCGGTTGATGCAGGGGTACAAGTTGCTAGCTGCTTAATTTAGGAAAAATTTAAGGGCCCTTCTGGCTTCAGAACGTCTGAGACATCCACCAGGGTCTCTGTGGCAATTGACCTGTACAGTAGTCTAACTTCTCCCCCTGCAGGTACATTTCAAACACCTCCTGCATGGACACCTTACAGTTTAATGTCTGCTTCCAGACAAACAAAACTGGACAGGAGGCTACTTTCTATTTTTTTGTTTATTTGTTTGTTTCCTTCTGGTTCTGGAGCTTGAACCCAGTGCCTGGGCTTTGTCCCTTAGCTTTTCTGATTAAGTTTAGCACTCTACTACTTGAGCCATGGCTCCACTACTGGCTTTTTGGATATTCAATTGGCCGTAAGAGTCTCACAGACTTTCTTGCCTGGGCTGGCTTTGAACTTCAATCCTCAGATCTCAGCCTCCTGAGTAGCTAGGATTCCAAGTGGGGGCCACCAGTGCCCCGCCAGAAGTCTATTTTTAAAAGAGTCAAATGAGGCAAAGGGAAGGGTCTGTCCTGGAATTTGTTCCAGTGCTCTGATTGGGTTTCATGTTCTTTTCATTGATGGATTGTTTGATTCATTCAACTAATGACAATTGGGTGTCCAGTTCATGTGAAATGCTAATACTTTCTCTAAGGTAAGAAATATTTGGGGTCCAAAATTAATAGCATTACAGTGATTCTTCTTTCAGTGGAAATTGGCAGTGTATCCTGTAGCTCAGAACAAAGAAAAGTCTGGATGTATTTCATTGTATTGTCCATTTGGCCTGGTAAGAAGCTCTTTTACAGGACATTGATATCTCAGGACTCTTCTGAAACTTGAGTAATATCATTTTTTCCTGCAATTGAAGATCTCTGAGCAGCTAAGAGCAGTGAAGCAAGAGGCTCTGAACAAGCTGCTGGATAGTTACAGATCAACACCTTTCCTTCCTTGGCCTCTAGAAACTTCTCAGAGGGGAGCTACCGTGCTTTTCTCTGGGAAAACAGAAGATTGTGTTCTCATTTTATTACCCAAGCAAAAATAAACTTCACACATATTCACACTAGTAAAATTGTGTGTCTGTGAGGTGTTCAGGGTGTTTTATTCAATGGATATAACTTTGCAAAGAAACCCCAGTAACTATGGGATTAAGGACAAATAAGGGTTCTTGATTTGGGTTTTATCTTTTTCAAAGAATGTAATTCTGGGCCTTGTGCATGCCTAGTACTACTAAGTGCTCTACTCCAGGCTGAGTAGATTTGCATGTGTGTGTGTGTGTGTGTGTGTGTGTGTGTGTGTGTGTGTGTGTGTGTGTGTGTGTGTGTGTGTGTATCCCTACATAGGGGCTTAAATCCAAGGCCTAGGCACTGACCCTGAGCTTTGTCATTCTAAGCTAGCACTCTACCACTTGAGCTGCAGCTCCACTTCTGGTTGGTGGTTAACTGGAAATAAGGGTCTCTCAGATTAGTCTGCCAGAGCTAACTTTAAACACAGCCTCTTGTTGGGTAGGCTTTTAGATATGCAGCATTTGTGAAGTGGTCTTGCCAAACCTTGACTCTTTTCATTTTCTGACAGCTGTCCTAGAGAAAGGTCTACTCATAGGAAGATAGTCGCTCCTCCTGTATCTATAGGGAACTGGTTGGTTAAAAAAAATAGCTCCCTTTGTGCCTGCCAGGATTTTATTTCAGGAGACTTGAGCTCTTTCATCAGGGGGCACATTGCCTCTACTAGAGTGACCTTCAGATTGCGTAAATGTCACAGACACCAACTAATTCCTGGTTGGGCTGCACCATTATTTTCCAAACTTCCTTGTCTCATCTCCTTGTTGACCTTCTGTCTTTTACGTGTCCTTCATTTAAGCACTAAGCAGGCCAGGGTTGGCCCTTACTGTGAGAAAGACCCTACGTTTTTACTAGAACAAATTTCTGTCTTTATTGTTTCTTGCTCTTAGCCTTCCTTCCGTTTTCCTTGCTGTGAGTAATAAATTTGTGTGTGCTGGTGATGGTGGCTGTTCGTGAGTATGTACACACACCTGTTGACACATGATGCACTCACATAATATGCACTCAGACTCCTTCTCATGGAAGATTGCAGTAGCAGACAGACTGTACATGTTATTTCTTTTATCTTTTTCTTTTTGTGTCAGTTCTGCGGCTTGAACTCAGGGCCTATGCGCTGTCCCTGAGGTTCTTTGGCTAAGGCTAGCACTCCACCACTTGAGCCAGAGCACCACTTTTGGCTTTTTCTGAGTAGATCATTGGAGATAAGAGTCTCATGGACTTTCTTGCCCCCAGGATGGCGTTAAGTGGCAATACTCAGATCTCAGCCTCCTGAGTAGCTAAGATTACAGGCGTGAGCCACCAGCACCTGGCTTGTAGGTAACATCTTTTACAGCAAAATTATTGCTTTCCCAAGGCTTTCCTCTTGGTGGAGAGATTGTCATTCAACAAGACAGTATTTTGCACCTGAGGAGGCTGAGATGGGAGAAAGGGTCTCATCATGGTAGCCTCATCAGGGAAGCAGAGAGAGAAGTTGTAGAAAAGAGATAGAGAATCAGTACTCTTCCCCAAGAATGTTGACGTTTTATGCTGTTTTTTGTAATTGTAATACCATGCATTACTCCAGCCATTTCTAAATGTAATGTGCATATACAGCCAACTAAGCATTTCCTAAAACCCACAGAACCTTAGTTGAATTGGTCCCTCCATAGATGATATGAAAGCGATACTAAATATAGGAGTAATTAAGTTACAACAACATAGATTTCACTGAGCCATAAATGAAGAACCCTTCACTATGTGAGCCGTAAATTACCATACCTTCAAGGTAGAAGGCTTAAAATTATGCTGAACACATGGGAACTTTCTGTTTGCAGTACTTACTCCTCTCTACGGATCCAGTTAAAGTTCAATATGTGAAATTCTCTAGCAGGACAAACTGCCATGGGAAGCCATGGTATTTATAATCAGAAGTAGGTTTTGAGAATAAGCAGAGGACAAACAAAGGAACAGAGTGAGTATGGGAGAGTATGGGGGCAGACTGCTGATGGAGAACAAGAGCCAGCTGCCATCAATAGGAGCAACTTTCATGAGGAAAATACAGGCCATATTGCCTGTCTTCACAGAAACCATATCCATCCATCCATCCATCCATCCATCCATCCATCCATCCATCCATCCATCCATTCAATCATTCATATTCTCTCTCTCTCTTTCCTTCTCTCTCTCTTTCTCTCTCTCTCTTTCCTTCCTCAATGATTCTCAGGAGGAAGAATGATGAGAACATAACTCTAGAGACCGTTTGCCATGACCCCAAGCTCACCTACCATGGATTTGCTCTGGAAGATTCTTCTTCTACAAAATGTATTATGAAGGAAAAAAAAGTGCTGGGCGAGACGTTCTTTATGTGCTCCTGTAGTGCGGAAGAGTGCAATGACCACATCATCTTCTCAGAGGGTAAGGTTTCTTCTCTTAAGGGTTTGGGGGACATTTCTTGTCAGTGCCATTCACTCCTGCTCCCAGTTCTGCAGAAGACATCCTCTTGGGGCTCCGGGCTGGAGAGTGAGCCTGTTCTGTGTGGATGACAAATCCATTTGCTTGGTGAGCTAAGTGTCTAAGAAGTGGAAGGGTTGGCACGATCCTTTGATTCAATCTCCAGGGTCCATATTAACATTTGTTCTGACATATAGTTTCTTTTACCCAGACCATGGTCCTAAAAATACAGATTCCAAAGCAGCAGCAATGGCAATTGAGAATTTGTTAGAAATGCAGTCTCAAAAACTATCCCAGACCATTGAATTCGATGCATATTTTAGATAAAATTTGAGAGCCAGTGCTCTATAGATTTGAAAAGAGCTGTTTGATCCTGGAGAAAGACTTCCCTTACATTAACTGCTATGGTCTAATGAGCAAGTTCCTGGGATTTGTCTAAAGGGTTCAACTTGAGATCATTGAGTCCTATTCAAGTTGAAATGTAGAGAGAAAATAATAACCTAAGTTTACCTAAGAAACTGTAGGGAAACTCAATCTTGGCCTTTCATCTTGAGGTTCATGATTCCTTCAACTTGGAAAGAGAAACATGGTCTTGTTGAAACTGAAATCAAGCAAAAGCAAAGCAAACCTATTCAGTATTTTTTAATTTCTTAGGAAAAATTCAAACAACCCCACAGTGTGTGACAATTAAAAATGAAAGTGTATTTTTCTTACCCCATCACTCCCAACCCAACAGATAATCCAAAGGAACAGATGGTTGGAAGCACACATGTCTCTTACCATTCTTTCTACCACCTTACTTTATGCTACTCCCTCTTTCCTCCTCTTTTTTCTGATGCAAGCAGCTGAGCAGCTGCTATATACCATGTAGAGTTCCTGCCCTGCAAGATATGACATGGGTGTTTGTGTCTTGCTGAACTCTAAGTCTCAAATGCACTCATTGCTCACAAATATTTGCCAATGGTAGCAAAAACATTGGCTTTACAGACTGCAGCAAGGAGTTGGTGTCTGCTCTTTAGGGAAGTGAGAAACAGCCCAGTGCAGGGGTCAGGATGAAAGACAGGGGACAGTTCAGGGCCTGCTTTGCTGCTTCTGATGTCATCAGGCCTGGTCCCTGTTAGGTTTTTAAAAAGAGGTAGCTGAGTAAGAACTGCACCACACACCTAGTATTCAGGTAAGGGGTAGGTTTATTCAGTAGACCTGCTGGGACCAGGCAAGGTTGGCACTCCACGTGGCTGGGAAAGGCCTGGGAATGAGAGAGAGCTGGGAAAGAGAGGAAAGAGAGAGGAAAGAGCTAGAGCAGAGAGAAAGCAGAGAGAGCTAGAAAAGAGCAGCTAGAGAGCGAGCCTCTGGGCCTGGGCTAAGGCCTTATGTAAGGTATGGGCGGAGAAAGGTGTGGCCACATCAAATTCAGATGTGACCTCTTCCAGGTGTCCCAGTTGCCTAGGTAACGCAGGTACTGGGTGGAGACTTTGCTGCGAGGAGGGTGGAGTCTGCTGGCCATCCAGGAGCGGACCTTACAGTCCCCTCCTCTGCAAAATGGAAATATTAAGGGGACAGGAGGTGTCCTTGTGAGTATCAAATAGGTTCACACACAGGGAGTTCTCACCGAGGTGCCTGACCGGAGTAAGCAATCATTATCTGAGCTCTTAGAGCTGTCTGATTTTTTTTTCCTAAAGGACTGGGGAACCCTCTGGCCAGGCCCTTTGAACACAGCATTTGGAGCTTGAAGTCCTGGACCACCGATGTGCTATGGGAATGCCCTATTTTCATCACCTCCCCCTGTCCCAACCTAACTGCTTCTGTTTTCCTCTGTACATCTTCACAGAGGCATAAAGGCCTGTGGAGTCCAGGCTAACAACATTCCTGACTTTGTTGGATTAATATTACAAATTAGATGTGTTGTTCTTGCTTTAGATTCAGGATCACAACAGGAAGCAACAAAATAAGACTGAAACACAAGGACCTTTCTGATCAGAGATGAGACTAATCCCAGTCTCTGCGATCTCTACTAATCCAAGTTCCCCTTTCTCTTTGAATTGCTGTTCCATGGCTACCCAGTGAGCAATGAAACTGTACCTAATGGGGTATTGTTGTAATTCAGGAACACGATGCCCAGTAATGCCCAGCATTGCAGCTGGCATAAGTATATGCCCCTGTCCTATTGCTCCTCCCTAGGGAAGAAGAATACTGCACTGAGGACCACACCTGTCTGGATGGGTTGGATCCTTGCCGCTCTTTCTGCAGATGAGAGGCAGTGACAGGGAGTCTTACACAACCTCAGGGCCCTCAGAGTTGTGACAAGACCCTCAGGGTGCTTTGTGCACCTTGAAGTGTGGAAAGTACTATGGGAACTCACCCAAATAGGAAGGAATCAGTGACAGGCTCTTGCTGATTTCATGCTCCATATTTACCTGGACCAATAGGAGAAAATTTGGTCATTTGGAAATGAGCTAAATAGACTTTTCTGTTGCTATAACACTGTAGTGATGAGTAGATTTTTGTTATATACTCCACTAATACCGGTTTAATATAGATACGGCTATAGGAAAGATAAGATAGCACTTTGTTATGCATGTCTTTTTAAATGTGTGTGTGTGTGTGTGTTTCTGTGCTGGTATTGAGGCTTGAACTCACAAAATCAAGTTCTCCCTTAGATTTTTCTGCTCAAGGCTGGTGCTCTAGCACTTGAGCAATGTCTCTCCTCTCAGCTGATTTACTGGTTAGTTGGAGATAAGTCTCACAGACTTTTCCGCCCAGGCTGACTTCGAACAAATATCCTCAGATCTGCTTCCTGAGTAGCTAGGATTATAGGCGTGAGCCACAGTACTCAGCAGTACATGTGATTTTCATTTGTAATTGAACCATAGATATTGTATGTATTTGTGGGGATATAGGATGACATTCAAATATATGTGTATACTGTGTAATGTTCAGACAGGCTAATTGGCATATCTGTCCACTGGCACATTTATCATATCTTTATGTTTAGAACAATCAAAAATTTTACTACTTACTGTATGTATAATAATGTAAGTATATATAACACTTATTTACTTACGTAATTTCATCAAGTGTTTCTAATAAACTCAAATACCAGTACTCTAGAAACTACATTTTACAAAAATATATTTTATTTTGTTTCATTTTATTTTGTGCCAGATAAAGGGTTTGAATTCAGGACTTGATACTGTCCTAGAGCTGTTGAGCTTAAGGCTAGCACTAGACCACTTGAGCCACAGCTCCACTTCTGGCTTTTTGATGGTTAATTAGAAATACAAGTTTCATGAACCTTCCTGCCTAGGCTGGCTTTGAACTATGATTCTTAGATCTCATGCCTCCTTTGTAGCTAGGATTACACATGTGAGTCCCTAGCCCCTGGCTAACCACTTTTAAAAAATTGCATTGGCTTATATTATTTATATAGAGTAGAAGAGTATAGGGATTTCACCATTACATCTCCATACATGTGAATGCTGAATTCTCATCAATTTTACCCTCTTCATCACACTCCTAGTAACCACTTCAGTTTGTGCAGTTAAACAGGAAAACAGACATACAAGCTCTGTGCAGATATGAGCCACAAGCATGGAAATCCGTGGCCTCTAACAGAGAAGTTGAGTGGAGAAAGAGAAGACTGCTTATAGCCACTAAGATTCATTCCTTCCTCTCATTATTGTAGAGTTTCTTTAAAATGAAAACAGTCTTTTGGGTTTGTAAGACTCACTCTGGCAGGAAGACAAATAATTTTTTTTTTTTTGTTTTACAGTATCAGACACGCGGTTTCCTGTCTGTGTTTAACTTGCTAGCAGCTCGGCTCGGCCAGCTGTTTCCCTCTGGACCCATTGCGACCTTACTAGGATGCCTTGCGCCATCCTGCAAAACCCACTGTACATGAGTCACATGCCTTGAGATCCTAATTGACTTATTGCTTTTTGGAGGAAGAGCAGATTTAGAAATGCTGCCCCTTGCCTCCAAAATCTCATTGTGTGTTGATTCAGCCCCAACATCCTGGAACTAGTTTCCTGGAAGGAAACTTCATTTCTTTTCTCCTAGAAGAAATGAGAAGGGCAAATAGTGCTTTGGAAAGTAGGGTTGGGACTTAGGATGAATACTGTATATAGTTCCTTTCAGTTGTGGATGCACCTTTCAAAATAGCAGTTTGCTAGCCACGCTCCTCCCCCCACCCACTCTCTCTCTCTCTCTCTCTCTCTCTCTCTCTCTCTCTCTCTCTCTCTCTCTCTCTGTGTATGTGTGTGTGTGTGTGTGTGTGTGTGTGTGTAGTTACTGGGGCTTGAAATCAGAGCCTGGACACTGTTTGTCAGTTTTTTTCACTCAAGGCCGATGCTCTACCACTTGAATTACACATCCACTTCCATGGTGGTTAATTGGAGAGAAAAGTCTCACAGATTTTCCTGCCCAGCTGAGCTTCGAATGGCAAACCTCATATGTCAGCATCCACTACTGGCACTTGGTTCAGCCAAATGTTTTTGTTTTGAGAAAATCAAAACCTATTTTCTATCTTGTCTAAGTGTAGAAATAAGAAATAGGTGTGGATGTGCGGTTGAGAAAAGTTGTTAGAAGAAAATTAGGGATTCAAAGCTCGTGCTCTACAATTTGAGCCATATATCTGCTTCCAGCTTTTTGGTAAAAGGTGGGAAATAAAAGTTTCACAAACTTTTCTGCCTTAACTGGCTTCAAACCTTAGTGTACTCAGTGTCCTCAATAGTTAAGATTACAGGTGTGAGCTAGCAGTGCCTGGCTTCCTGAGCTTCGCTTTCCTGATAGGAGGGAATGACATTGGATTCCGGCAAGGTAGCAATGCAACAAGGGTCTCAGCCCTTTCCACCAGTACCCATAAGGCAGAAGCTTGTGGGAGAAACATGAATGTAAAGTCACCATGCCATGTTAGCCCTTGAAGTCCAATCACTCCACTGGCCATTCATATCCATGGGATGGATTCA